TCACCAAAATCCGCAATTGGAGTTTAAAAACGGTGGTTTTCTTTGCTTTTTACCTCCTCCTTATCTCTCAAAGCTTCAATTTTACTTTTGTGATTTTTAATCTTTTTTTTATTTTTTTAGGGCACCATGAACACGTTGCAATAATATATGAGGTCAAAACCATTCATCGTGACCACACTTGAGTTTAGCCTATTTTCAACAAATGTCATCTCTATCGTGCTCGCTGTTCAGTCTAGTTCCATCACTGTCAGAAAGCTAAGCTTCCTGGGGAAACCTCGAACTAACTTCCTATAATATTACTTCATCATCAGTTAAGTCCCACAACATGATTTTTTATCAATTTAGTCCCTAATGTATCAAGCTCTTCTCAATTGGGTCCTTCTTTTAATTTCTGCTAAAAGATATTTGACTGGAGGATCCAGTTGAGAAACGTTTGCTCCGGGCTTAATTGAGAATTGATACATACTCTAGCCAATAGGGATTCAATTAGGTTTTCCAGAATGTAATAAAACAAATATTTACATGATGACGGTTAACCCGAAACTTAGTATAATTCAGGTTTTATGGTTAAAACTTATACAAGAATTAACTTAATATTTAAAATTTTTTATTTGAAAATAATATTTATTTATTTATTTAATATTAAATTAAATTAGATTTGATCTAAAAATACTAGCCACGAATATAGTGGCACGCGCTAACTATTTTTTTATTTATTAAAAAAATAAAGTTCTTCTTAATTTTCCCGAGTATAACAATTGAATTGGTGGATCGAAGAAATATAAGCTTCACACTCTCAATTGACGTTCAGCACACAGAAAAATAAAAAAAAGTTTATAGTTTTTTCAAAAAAAAAAGAAAAAGAGGATTGAGTTAGGGCTAGACATGGATGGGATATTCTTCAGCTGCCATCAGGCCATAATGCTAGGCCTGAATTTCATCTCGGCTTATAATTGGAGCCGGGTATATTTTCCTAATCTGGGCTTGAACCCGACCATAAATAGGGTGATCGTGTCGTTAATTTCTTTTAACATCTTTATAATCACTTGATTTTTGTGAACATGATCATTAATTAATCATTCCTGAGTTTTTTTTTTTTCATTTAAAAAAATTGTTAGTAAAATATATAAATGCAAAGCCCTTTGATTTCAAGCAAATGGCTCAAGCAATCAGGAACATCTTAAGCAAGCACAAGCTGAGGAAACAAGAACATCATCAGAATCACATTTCCTGATAAGCTAATTCCACTTTACAAGTTCTTGTATCTCATTGCCTGAAATACTAATGTCTTCAATTATGATTTGGTGAGAATTTAACGTGAAATCCGTCTCGAAAAGCTAACATAGGACCTCGAACAACTCGTCCTCCCTTGATTCTGGTCCATCTGTGATTAAGAAATTCAAATCCAGAAAAGCCATTTACAATCCTGCTACAAAAACCTGAGCAGAAGCATGCAACGTGGTCCTGTCTTATAACAAACAAAAGCAAATGCCACTAAAAGGGAAGGAAAGAAACAGGAACATACTCATATTTGGTGAGCAGGACATGGAGAAAGGTGGCCATGAGCAATTTACTGAATTCTGCCCCTGCACACTGCCTAGTTCCCCCACTAAAAGGCATGAAATTCTTGGATACAAGATACGGGTCCATGTCCTGTGTTCCATTTGCAGATTAAAAGAAAGGGTCATTTGTTAAGAATCCATCGATTCCCTTTCTCTTTTTAATGATCAAAGATTATTTACTACCTTCCAACGTGCTGGATTGAATGCGAGTGGATCCTTGTAGACGTCAGGGTTCAAATGAGAAGCAGAAGTGACAGCCATTATGATCCAACCGGCAGGAATTGTAAATCCTGAAAAACACTCATTTGGAGTAACACTGCAAATATCTAAACAACAGTCATAAAAAAAAATCATACCTTTAAATTCAATGTCTTTCAATACTCTTCTTAATAATCCAGGTGCACCATTCCCCAACCTTAGCGATTCGTTGATAACCTGAAATTTTCAAAACCTAGCAGATGTAAGATGAATGAACATACAATAGTTGTAAGGAGATCATACCATAGTACAAAACCAGGCCCAGCCCGAGGCTGGGTCATGGGTTGTATGGGTCAACATGGGTCAATCCAGATCTAGTTGGGTTTTGACAGGGCAATCGGGTTGAGAGTTGACTCGCCATGTCGACTAGATCAACTCCCACCTGATTCAATATGAAACCCAACCCGAGCCAGGTCTCCTATCAGCCAGTCACTTGATTGACTCGCGGGAAAAGGAGGGTTTAATAACACTATATCAGAGTATTTACTTGAAGCGTAGAAGTCATTGATTTGTACTCATCCCATGTGAGCACGGGATCTGAATTTCGTCTATTTTTCAGGATTCCCTCATGCTCAGCCTGCAAAACATATTGCTGATGTTATAACCATGTAAATACCAAGTTCTAATCTGAAGACTGCTAATTTACGATTGTAACACTCACTATCAGTTCCTGTAACACTGAAGGGTGGTCTGCTAGCAACTTAAGAGTTAACGTCAGTATTTTCGAGACTGACTCGAAGCCAGCAAATAACAATCCAAAGATCACTGTAATAATGAAATCATCTGATAAGAACTTCTCTTTATCCTCCTTGTTCAAGTCAGCAATGACCTGATCAAGCAAATCTCCTCGATACATATCTGGCGAGTTGCGTCTCTTCTCTAGTTTATCTTTCAAAAACTCGGTTGCCTTCTCTCGGTCCTGAACAAATAGATTGGTTACCACGTGTATTACCATGAAAAGAACAAGTTCTTCTCTCTCTCCATTCTTTCAGAGTACCTTTAAACATTTATGGTATGTAGTGCCAGGAATATTCAAGGGGATGGACATAAGAAACTCTGATATTTTGGTGAATTTTTCGCTTATCTTATCTTCAGATGTGTTTTCAGAATCATCATAACCAAACATGTGCTTCGCAATATAACTGAAAACCATCTGCAAGAAGGGTATATATCAAGAACAGAACAACATTAATGGATAATACAAAAGGCATGTATTAAGTGGTCCTAGAACTTACAACTGCAGAGCCGTATTTCACTTCAATAGATTCTTGAGCTGACCACATTTGCAGGGTTTTCTTAATCATGTCTTCTATTTCAGGAAGCAAGCCTTTCTTAAGTGTTTCGACGCCAAAGTGAGTCAAGGATAAACTTCTGATATACTTATGAATGACTCCAACTGCACTTGTCCTAGATTCACCCTCTTGATTGAAAAGCTTGGAAAATGTGTCTAAATACCACATCTCTACCAATTTTCCTTCTTGTTGGAGGATGAGATGGTTGAGTTCGGGATCGGTCGATACCACAACAGGTCGGCCAAAGATGTTCGTTCGAAAAATGGGTCCAAATCTGAAATTGGAAATACCAGTTAGGTAGAGATTGAATAAGCAAATCCCACAAGCTAGCCTTCAGAATGCCATAAAAATCAAAGACAAGTACAAAGGAATCACAGCAACATATTACCTTTGAATCCTCTTCTTGATAAACGGATGAAGGTCTAGAGAATAACTTGGAATGATCAAATGAAGGGTCTCTCCAATGAGAGGCAAGCCCATGGAACCAGGTGGGAGAACACCATTGCAGCTAGGATTCTTCCATTTTCTAACCAAATGAGTACAATATATGACTAGCAATGCGATAACACACAACCCAATTGTCCACATTTTTTACTTTGATATTGAAGCAAAGGTGAAAGAACTGACAAGTTATGTTCATATCTAATATACTGATCAATCTGCAGCTCTTAAAGAGGCAAAGTGCCGAATGGATCAAACTAAAAACAAGTGAATCAGACAGACTCACAGATAATTTAAAAAAAAATCCGGACATTGAGTTTTATGGTGACACTTCTTGGATAGAATGTTTACTTTGTTATTGATGTTAATCTTTTTCGTCCTGGAACTAAAAGTACAATTAAGAATCTTGATTTAAGTGTTGGCAGTTTCAGCATTCAGAATCTTCTTGCCGTCTAAAATGAGTGGCGGAGCTGCTGTTAGTCTCTTTCTTACGATTTCAACTTCTTCTGAATGCTGAACCTGTTGTATGAGCTGGAAAAACTTGCAAGCAGAAAAAAAGCAGTCTGCAATTTCTTTTTAGAAAGGGTAAAGCTTAGCTTACCAGAAAATTCTACGTAAGATAATATCATCTCTAAAGTTAAGCTCTATTTTCTTATCATTGAATTTGATAGTTGATAATTTGTTAACACAGTTTGAGTTCTAAAGAGTTTAGTTCCTCCTCCACCCCAATGTATTATTGGATCTCGCAATTGTTTTTCAGAATTTTATCTCTAGATGCATATAGTCCCAACACAGATATAAATAAAATAAACCAGGCAAGTTTAACTCTACTTATTAATTTATTTTCTGTTACTATTAATTGACTAGAGCCTGCATTCCTATATATAGGAAGAAGTATGCACAGTTATCCATTGAACAACAATCTTCCTTTTCTCTGTGTCCTTGTTCCAGCTTAGCCTCCACCGCCCCAAATACTTAAAGCTAACGTTAATTGCATTACAAATGTGGGTGTGGGAATGGGTGATATCAGAGTCATTTGCTGTGGGACTGCTACTCATATGCTGGACTCACTGGATATTGAAATAGAGACACCCAAAATGCAATGCAGTTCTCCCCCCAGGTTCCATTGAAGAGACCCTTCAGTACTTATTCTGTCCCAGGTACTCTCTGGATGTTCACCCGTTCTCCGAAAAACAGATCCCAAAGGTAACATGTACGCAGTTTTTCGCGCAGGGTTAGTATTATTTTTAGGCTAGTTTCACGAATCCAGATAAGAAGTTTATTTCTTTTCCTGTCAAACCTAGAGACCACAACTAATAGCAATTCCGACTTCTGCATGTGATGCAAACCAAGCCGACATTATTATTATTATCAATCAGTGAAAGAAAATGGAGATTTAGATGCTGATAGGGCAATTAAGTTGCACAAGGAACAAAAGAAGCAACGAGAAAAGGAAAGAGACTGAGTGGTTTTTCAGTCCGAAATGAAGAGATTGAACTAAATTGTAATAGCAAATATGCCTTCAAAATGAATACCTTTCACTACCCTTCTCAACAACCCAGATGCAGGATTTTCTATCCTGAGAATTTCATTGACGACCTGTGATTTCCACCAGCAAAAAGCATGCTAAAATACTTGGATTGCTTTAAGAAGAGCAAAGAAATAGAATCAGAAAAAAAACCTGTTGTGTACAAGTCATTGACACACACGCAAATCTGCATACTGTCAGCTCTTGAAGCACTGATGGATTGTCTACAAGGAGCTCGAAAAACTAATGTAAGTGATGTTGAAATGGATTCTCCCTTGACTATCAAAAACGAGAGCACGAGGTGGATTGTCATGTCCTCGTTCAAGAATTTCTCTTCATCCATATCTTCAAGGACTTGACTGAGTAGATCTTGTCGATGATACTTCTCAGGTGACGTACGTCTCCTGTCTATCTCCTGCTCCACCATGTCTTTTATTTTATAATCAAAGAATTTGCAGCTTGGAAACAATAGAAAGGGAGATTCACAAATTATAATATACTTGCATTAATCTTGACCCTGAATCTATCTACCTTTGTTTTTATGAAATTCCATTACCTGTAAACATTTGTTGAATTTTGCACCGGGAATGTTCAAGGGGAAAGAACAAGAACAAGACAAGTAGTAATGTGCTTTGTCATATATCTATACTGAACAAGACAAGAACACTAGTAAGGTATGAGCTTGAGATTTACCTGTGAAGTAGAATTTTTCACTTCCAGTACAGATGCCTGGCACGGCCATGCGCGTAGAGTTCAGTCATCTTCTACTTGAGGAAGAAACGTTTTCTTAAGGGGGCAAGGAGCCAATGTGATCCAAAACAATGCCAGGGAGATATTTGTGAATGAGAACCCCGGGGGCACTAATTCAAGAAGGTTGGAAAGGCTCGTAAGATATCAGATGTTTTGGCATGGCTGTGGTAGGAAGGAATCTATGGATAGAGTTAAAAGGCTTCAGAAGAGACTTCTGCTTGCCCCAAAGATGGCCATTGAATAGTAGAGTTCATCCTTGTAGAACTGCCTAGATAATAACGGAATCATAGAGTTTGATGAACGTGCCTTCCAAATTATAATTACAAATTCACCAAGAACGTCACAAAATTGTTTCACTTGTTAACAAATCAATAATCAGTCGATTGTTTTGATTGATTTCTCAAATCAAAACATACTTCCGCCGTTCAAGAACCATTCAATAATCAGTTCTCTATTTTTCTTATTAAATAAGTTTAGTAATATTTGATGAAGTCGCTTCCTCTTTCTTATGAAGACATAATTGCTCCTTATCCCCTGCTTATATATAATTTCCATGTGTGTCTGATTTTAAATACAAGTCGTAAAGTTCAAAAGCCCTGTTAATGACTCAATACCTTGAATGGCAGTGGAGTTCCATGTGGTTTCAATTTCTATCACTCTAACATTTTGGATTTGGCATAAATTAATCTTCCCATCTAATAATCTATTTCTGTTGATAATTTATGCTTAAAACACCACGTTATATAAGCTCAACCTAATGATAGCCATATTGTTCAGACTAGGGCAGGTGTTTTTTCCGTTCAACTCACTTGCTTTTCTTCTAAAAAAATTAAATTGATATTTTTTAAGTAATTTTTTTATATGTTTCTGATATACTAATATCAGAAATAAAATAATTAAGAAAAGATACAATTTTTATACTTTGAAAAACACTTTCATAAAAACATCACTAGGTTATGGTCCTATGTTGAGGCAGTTTAATAGCGTGCCTGCCTTTGAAAACTACGACCGATTGCTTGTTCCAGAGCTCAGGATTCCAATAATGGATGGACTATATAGGTACCGAATCTAAATCCAACAAGGAAATTTGGTCATCCCGCTGTTTTCATATGATACAACAATTTTCATTATCCAATTTCTTAGTAGGAGGAACTACACCATGCTTTTTTTTATCAATTATCCGAGTTATATTCCAAGTCATATTCAGACTTGATCTATTATATCAACTAGATCATTTTAACAGCTCCAATATAATTTATTTTTAAATTTAAATTTAAAAAATAGATAAGCAAGTAGATTTCAAAATTGACCCCCCGGGTCATATTTCATAAAAATACTAAATAGTTCTTACAGTCATGACATTTTTTACATTTTTTTTTAATCTGACCCGCAGGAACAGCTCTATGAACTAGTGTATTCTGAAAAATACCTGAAATGGATGATACAAATGTAGAACTTTTCATTCAACTGTACAATAAGGGGTAAGTTCTCAAGTACTACGTTCCTTGATCCCCACACAACCAAAAAAGAAAAGAGCTCAACTTATTTGGAAGGAGAAAAAGGCAAAAAGAAAGAAACAAGAAGAATAGTATTACCCTATGATCATCTCATGCGGAAGACTGGTATTAACTTGTATAGCAGCAAAAAGGGGAAAAAAAGAACAGTAACATGATACTTGCTCAGGAAGACATTATTGTATGAAATAATGGCTGAAAATGGAGGCAGAATTCCCAGTATCAGTCCAGATTAGCAATGACAGCATCAACCACCTCTTGTGTGGTGCTGTCTCCACCAAGGTCTTTGGTTCGACACTTCCCCTCAGATATTACACGCTTCACTGCAGTCTCAAGCCTATCAGCAAATGAAGGAAACTGGAGGTGTCTCAACATCATGGCAGATGAGAGGAGCAAAGCCACTGGATTTGCCTTCTTTTGTTCCACCATTTTTTCTTTTCCCACATTTCCAGCAGAAGCACCTTGCTCAAAAACAGCATAATCAGCTCCCACATTACCTGTAGTTTTTCCAAAAACAACATGACGAGGCAAGCTTATAGAGCTGATAATAACAGAAAAGGTCCAAAGGACTTGAAACTATGAAGCTCCTAACAGCTTCATGATTAGGATTCCTTAACTTATAACTTGTTAAAGAAGGTGGGGAAAAATCTTTTGCAGAATTAGAACTTGTAACCAAAGTCATACCTCCTGGCATGACACCAGTGCCTCCAGCTATACCAGCTGCCGTATTTGCCACAAGATTGCCATAAAGATTAGGAGTAACCTGTGCAGAAAATAATACAGGTTTTTAATATTGAAAAGGTCAAGAGTGCTAATCGAGTCAGTAACAATCAAGCATACACAAGACCATGTATCAGGAGACTGTAGCTACTGCAAGAAGCTCGGTGAGGAGATATGTAAAGGTAAAACTACAAGTACAATTCTCGATTATTTTACATTATAGTTTTAGTATCCTTGTATTCCATCAACGGACTACAGAGCATCAACCATCCATCACAATCTGAAACTCGATGCATATACATTCATTGATAAACATGTTGCCACGTTCAATAGCGAGAGGAATTTTCCCCTAACTATATGAATACCTGCCACTGAACAACAGACTCATTCCACTGCTAACAAAACCAAAGTTGCACACCAACAACATAAATACACAAGGAATCAACTAACAATGTATAACATCACAGACTCTAATTCAAGCAATAATCAATGAAGTTTCAATAAAAAACACTTACCATCACATCAAATTGCTCAGGTTTCGATACCAGCTGCATACAGCAATTATCCACAATAATCTCACTATACTTAATACTCGGATATTTTGTTGCAACCTCTCTACAAGACTCCAAAAACAA